AGGTGCGTTTTCAGTCACCTTTAATAAAAATATTGGCATCAATGTCTTTTTTAATGTATATAGTGTGGTTTATATTGTTTTGTCTTTTGTACTATTGAACCTAGTGACTGGAATAAAGAGAATACTAATAATATGTGGAATATATGAAATGTAAAGTCATTGCTTTGAAATGTTTTGTGCTTTTGATAAATATTATGTTTATAATTTTAATTATAAATAATTTATAATTATAATTTTTATTTTTGAGATTTTTAAAATTGAGTCAGAGTAATTTCTTACCGAGTAATTAAGTTACTTTACAGAAAAAGCGATAAGAGAAAAAATCTGAAAATAAACAAATAAAATTTACTTTTTTTTAGATGACTCATTAAAATGTTACACTGTATAATGGAGTAAAAAATATATAAACTTTATTTTGTATATCTTGATTATATATAAAAATCAAGGTATAGGAATAAATGTAGATTTTTTTTTACTCCATTATACAGTGTAACATTTTATATACAAAATGTATTCATTTTATCGCTACATTTAAACTATTTAAAATTTCTTGAGGGAAATAATTGTTTAAAATGGTTACTAATAAATTACATTATTGATATACAATTAATATTTATAACATAATACAAACCACATTCTACAGCCTAAACCAACTTTTCATTTATCTGATATTAAGTCATGAGAATCTGTTGGAGAAATAAAACTCTGCTGTTAATTTGTTTATAATACAGCTACCCAAGATTTTTTTTTTTTCAGAACTAAAAATAGAAGAAAATATGCAAATAATGCTCTATTTCCTCCACAGGCTGATTGTTTCAATTCATAAGACCTCACTGTATGCATATGCATATTAATTTTGTTTTGCCTTTACATTTGTTTTATTTTATTTTATTTTTGACTCTCAAAGTGCCAGTACCTACTAGCTTGATGATTCACCAACCCGCATGGTTACAGCTAAAAGTTCAACTAAAGAAAGAAAAGTCACATCAGAAATGGCCTAAAGGTGAGTAAATTAACAGCAAATCTAGATTTATAAGTGAACTATCCATTTAAGATTTATTTTCAAGAATTTAAGAACAGTTGTTTGAACCTGAATTATTGGGTTCCACCACCACTACCCAAAAAACTAAATGATTTTTAAATTCGGACATCCAAGTGTGTGTGTGTGCAAATTTTAAATTTTTTTTTTAGCTAAATTAAAGTTACACTTTGGAAAAAGGCTCATTTGCCACTCCCCTGAGTTTTACCATTTTTGAATCCATTTAGTAGATCACATGAGTCTGGTGGGGGCACTTTATCATTTAATCAGTTTAGACCAGCATGTGTCAGATTCAGGTCAGCATCTCACTCAAAAATGACCAAAGAGATGTGATAAGCTTCCTATTTAAAGCTTGACAATTCTGTAGTGTACATCATGTACTAAGAATGATGATAAATGAGAAGTTGCTATTTTCTAGCTGATATTGTTAGGAACTCTCATTCTGGTGTAATAGATACGGAAGTTTGCTGCCGTACCATGGCTAAAACAGGCGCAATGATATTGGGCAGTGCCTGAAAATAATCCTAAACCAGGTAACATCAAACCGACACATGCTCCCAGTGCCACCAGGTGGTCAAGTAAGTTATATTGATGCAAGTTAGCCAATTTTCAAGCACTACGTAATAGGGCTACACGATTAATTGGAAAAAAACAAATAATAATAAGAATCTATTTTCAAGGTCAGGAGAGAAGCATAAAGGCAGTTGCACTTCACAGGAACATGAACACTTTCAAATGGCGTTAAAAGTGTAACATACTATATTTATAAGGTATAAATTACCCAGAAATGTAATTTCTGTCTTCATGTAATGATGTATTTGCAGCCGCAAAATCACACATGAGCTGACCACGAGCTACCGTGCACGCAGCATGCCAATGAAGGCTACTTTAGTGAACAGAAGCTGCATAGGCTGTGAATAACATGTATTAAAGTTGTAAATAACATTCAGTTTTTTGCACAGAACGATCGTTTGACAGCCAAGCTGAAAGAACGATTTGCATGTGTGTGTTTTATCACAGGAACAGCAGCTATGAGCCGCACTAGGAAGTAAAAAATTAACTGGCGGCACATCCTTTAAATAATCAATCGCATTTTACGATTATGATAATGACAAGCATTTGATTTGTTTCTTCTTTCATAGCTAACACAGTGTTGTGCATGTGAATAAATGTTTTACGGTGTCAGTATAGCTACTCTAGCTTATATAATGTTGAACATAATGCAAGAAGAAATCAGATAAACACAAATAAACACAAATGTCTGATTTTACAAGGGAAACAAATGGTCTAATAAGCACATGTCTCAAACATAATAACTGAACTTTATAATTATTTTGATGTCACCATTTTACTGTGAATTAACAAACAGGACATATTGAAAGTCTGTTTAAGTCTACCATAATGACTATACAAAATTTAGCATTTTAAGCAACAGTAGACCTACACACAGGCCTAATATCATGCTAATGGTCTAATCTGATTCAATGATTTATGCTAAGCTAAACAAAAAGTACAACTGCCAGACCCGGAGAATGAGTACAAAAATGGTAAAACTACACTGTTTAACTGTTGGGGAGTGTAAAAAAAGTGTTCCCTTAAAGAATAGGTTGTTTTCACATGACGTCATTAATGACGCATGAGTCTCAGATGGAGGAGGAGAAGAAGTGATTCTTCTACATGGGATTCACTATCAGGACGTCAAAATGTTCAATGTTGTTTAAATTAGCCAAAATGAGAAATGCCAAACAGCTTTAATAGACTTTCAAATTTTTGTACTTATGAAGGAGGAAAAGTTCAAGAAACTGACTGAAAAACAGAAGAAAAGGTGGCATGTAATAAAAAATTCTCAATACATCCATGAGTAACGTTACAAGCTTTTTTGAATGTGATAATTTGTTTGACAGCACTAATAAAGATTATATACAGCACTAGCTGTGTGTAAGGCCAGACGGAATCTGAGGAAGTTTTTTGCTATCTCTGCGGAGAATTTTAGTAAAAATCTGCGGATTTCTGCGGAAATATTTTGGGAGTATCCAGCGAAGTATCATAACTACAACCTTAATATAATAAATAAAAAGTAATAAATTACTGATTAAAAACTGAATAAATTCAGATTTACACATTTATTCAAGTAAATAAACAGAATTAATAATGGGCTAAAAATCAGCAGAAATCTGCGGAATTCTGCGGAAAATCTGCGGAATTCTGCGCGCGCAGATTCCGTGTGGGCCTAACTGTGAATAAACATGCTAATGTGGTATATAATAATCAGATACAAACACAAATACACTTACACAAAATCCAGGAGAATATAAATAACGTACCCTGCCATGTAATCGCTGCAATGAAATCTCAGTCTTGTCTTGCAATAATCCAAGTCTTTACTGGCGTTTTGGTGAAATAAACAACAATAACGTGAACAATAAATGCGCAGCAACAGCGGTGAATGTTTGTAGATAGTAAGTTTATTGACCGAACAAAAAAAGAAATGCAAAATTAAACGGTTAATATACTTAAGCTCTTTCCCCCTTTACAAAAATAAATGAATAAATAATAATGAAGACTACGTGCATGTCCATGCTTTGGTATGCTTTCATCTGTTATTTAGTGATGTCTGAAACATATCCGCATGAGGAAAAAAAACTATAGTAATTTATAATAAACATGTTTTTGAATCACATAGTAAAGTGTATAATGTGTACAACTCTGTTAATGAATGATACCGAATACTGTAGCATAGCAAACTGATAAACTGCAATAAATACTATAACATTAGTGTAAACTGTGGTGCATTGTTATGGTGTATAATTATAGCACAGAAAATTGAAGCCTCTGGAATTTCTTTATTTCTACAGTCGTGTTGTACCACAGCTATAATTACTACGACAGTTTAATTCAAGTAATTATCTATAGTATGCTTCCAAACACTTTAGTATTTTTTTCATACGACATAGCTTATACAGTATCTACCGCCATGATGACAGGCAAATATACTTTAGTTCAGTAGAAAACTCAGCCCTCTTCATGATATAATGATCATGCCTAACATATGTGGTTATTTTCTATTTAGATCTCCTTCTAAATATGGTATAAATGTCAAAAATACTGCCTTTCCTCTTTGTCTCTCATTCAGTTTTTAACTTCCAGCCCTGAATTTTGCGTGTCACCGGAACCACGTGATTGCAAACAACCTACAGGCTAAAACATGAGCATTATATCATCAGTTTACTTTGAATGGACAGCAGTCTGATGCTAACATACTAGGTATGAACTACCTCAAAAAATGTATTTAGCAATCTGATTGTAATCCAGGCAGTTTAACCATTTAAATTAAATGTTTTTTTAACAAATTGGACTGCCTTCTGATTAGTTAAAGGGCCCCTACTTCCCCCTTTTAATCCTAGTTTCTTTGCAAATCCTGTTCTGTGAACATGTTTATTTCTGCTTCCACAGAAATGTTTATACACGCCTGTCAATTAATTCAGAGGGCAAGGAAAACCACACTCCTACATCATGTTGTGGCGAGCCTCAAAATCAATGTGATTTGAATCCTATTTTAACATCAGGAAATAAAAAAAGGAGACTGTGTTTGTGTTTGTATCACTCTAATGTGACAGTCTAATAACACAGTTCTGTCCAATGTATTGCCTAATGTACGCAGGACATGTGAAAGTACACATATTTAGATTCAACCTAAACTGAACAATCCAGTAAAGTACTATACAGTGGCTCTTTATGAACTCTAATGACAGCACAAGGAAATGACAGCTGAAAAAAAAAAATGCAGGGCACATTTCATTGCAATGAGCCTTCAACACCCTCCTCTCCTTTTACAAAGGAAATTAAACACCCAATCAGGTTCTGCCACCCAAATGTGATCACTCACTATCAGACAGAAACTAGGGCTGAGCTGCAGATTATCCAGCAAGGGCCACTGTATAGCTTCTTCTGAGGGACCCACCTTATGCAGTTCAATGGTATCGATCCACTGCTGTCGGAGCAAAGGATGTTCAGCCCTCAGGTACCAGATGCTGTCGTTCACACTGATGTCAAATCGGCATTCATCAAACTCATGAGGCTAAAAGAGAAAGCAAACATAACAGATTATAGTAAAAAACTAGTCGGAAAATGAAAAAAAAAAAAAGTGTATGAGCAGTTTGTAATCAATATTGTGTACGATCATATTTTTAGAGCTACTTTTCCTGCTGTTCCTGATTAACAACTTCCGCGTAAAACCACAGATTTGCATCTATTGAATAGGTCAGCGGATGGCAGATTACAACAGTAAAACAAAAACTGCTGACCAGCTCATCCACAAATCTAGGGGAAACCAACAGCTATAAGCTTGAAGTATAGTGCACAAATTAGATCTTCGAACTTGCATCTTTGCCAGCTCAACAATTTGCTAAACCGCTGTTTTGTACATGCTTAAGTACTACCTTGGAAGTTTTAGCAAATTAATATACATGAGTCAAGTCAACTACGCGAATCTAACTGTCAGATCAAGTATTAAAGATGTCTCAAACACCTTGTTATAAATAATACAAGAAGATTTAAAGGTAGGGGTTAGTTACTATTTTCTATGATATGCTTGCATAGTTACATGACTATATTTTGTTATTTATTTTATATGTAATATTATAATCCTAAATAAAAATATGAAAAATTCATTAATAATGACATGGCAATGATCAATCGTATCACGTGCTCGCCTCTAAATTAGTTCATTAAACTTCAGGTAAAATTTAAATGTTTACTTTGAAAATTATTTAAATACATAATCCTTTAATCATTTTAAAGCATCAGTCGAAAGTGACATATAGATAGTTTTAAGTAAACTTAAACATATTATATTGGAAGGAGAAACCAACTTGTTAACAAGACTAGTCTTTTGTATTTCTGTCTATTTTGCATGCGATTCTGGCATGCAGCCTGCTTCATATTCTTATGTCAAGGCTCACTGCAGTCCTTCTACATAATCTCAGATTTAGAAAAGGCACCAGTGAAATGTCTTCATTTTATATATGAAGGGAATCACCCATTAAGAGTGGGGAAAAGCCTGCTTGTGTGAGCACAACACTTTTTTTCACCAGATTGCTTTTCAAACCTAATGCAAACTGAAACTGGACTTGCACCAGAACTTGTTCTGGCCAAATTCCCTCCATCGGTCCATACCGATCATGGCCTCCCAATCATCCCCATCCCCATCATGTTGTGTGGTGACTGCACTGGCGCTGTTGTACTGTGGCTGCCATCACATCATCCATGTGGATGTTGCACACTGGTGGTGGTGGTGTGGAGAGACCCCCCTCATAATTGTGAAATGCTTTGGGTGTATGGCCTTACACAATAAATGCACTATATAAATACACATTAAATTACAAAACTTCATTAGTTGTAGAGCTGTTATCAAGGATTTCATTTTACCTATAAACATTCGAAGGAGGAGGTAAAACAGCCCCCTGGATGGATTGGATGTACGCTTATTTCAACAAAATATGAAAATTTACAAAAAACATTCGTTTTGAGCTATATTAGTTTATTAATCCTTTAATTAAATGCAAAGCTGACAGAAACAAAAATGACTGAATGGAGCATACACTCACCTACATGTTATTTAGTCACAAAAAGCAAAACTATCAAAGACAGATAATATAAATATAAATATGGAGGTGAATGTATTCTCTGACTGTTAAGATGGGTGGTAGTACCCAGATGAGCCTGTGTATTAGTTTTAGGGATTGTTATCTGTACATTCATTTGAATGTTGTGACTGACCAATTCGAATAAAGTATTCCAGACTGCAGTGCAATAAATAATAACCTCAAACTGGCATCTGATGTCACCTTTAAGATAATTAAAAAAATTTAAATTACTGGTCATAGTCATCAATCTCAGTCCTGGAGGGCCAGTGTCCCTGCAGGGTTTAGCCTTAACACACCTGCCAGGGTGTTTCAAGTATACCTGTAAGACCTTGATTAGCTTGTTCAGGTGTGTTTGATTAAAATATGCAGGACACCGGCCCTCCAGGAACAAGTTTGGTGAACCCTGGTATAGTTTATCATGAAAGCTGGGTATTATTTCACTGTGTAAACATGTCAATTTAATATATCAACAGAGTATACAGTGGCGACAATGTAATCAGTTAACAAAATCTTACTGGCTCTCTTTTGTATTTGATTAGCAACCATTTTGAAGTGTGGTCTACATAGAAAAACTCTCCAAAACCAACCACACAACATGCTCTACATCAACACAACATTAATAAGTTTTAATAAATGGTGAAGATCTACATTTTTTCTAGACCACTATGTAATAAGAACCTCAAATTGTGTAAAAGTGGCATCTGATGTCACCTTTGAGATATTTAAAAACAAAAACTAATGGCAGAAGTATAGTTTATCATGAAAGGTGGGTTCTATTTCACTGTGTAAACATGTACATGTAAAGAAACATAGTATACAGTGAAAACAATATAATCAGTAAAGAAAATCTCACTGGCTCTCTCTTGTAATTGATTAGCAGCCATTTTGGAGTGTGGACTACATACAAACTCTCCAAAACCAACCACACATACTTAGAAACTCTGAATCAACACAACATCAATATGTTTTATTAAATGGTGAATATATACATTCTTCTAGGCCACTACTTTACTTTAAGTGCTTTTTAAGAAGTGGTAGTGATTGGTGTTGGCTATAACTAATAATAGGAGTAGTTTTGGAGACAGACTGGCGATTTTGATTACTCTCAGGAACAGCTCTTATCAGAGACAGAGCAGTGATCAAGGCCAGAAGAGTTTCTGAACTCAAGCAGTCTTTGAGAAACAGCTGTTATCATCAGTTCATCACTGTCTTCTCCTCCTCAAACACACTGAAATCAACCAAACGCAAACATTCCAGAGGGGACTCTGGGATCAGACTGACTTCAAAGACTTCCAAGGTTTTCAAGCCTTGTTTAAAGCCTGGGTTTCACAGACATGCATCCCAACTGGACTCTGACAAACATTATTTTAGATCCTGATCTACACACAAACTGTTTGTGATCTTTAACCAAGTTCACTTTTCCATACAAAAGAACATCCTTTATAAACACTATGACGTCTTCTGGGATGGAAGCACTGTGGAAGTAAGGGCAGCACAGCTGAACAGGTTTACTTTCTTTACACGCGTTCATTTTTATTGGAACAGGAAAACTGCTCCCAGATTTTCTTTTCACAATGAGTTATGTGATATGCACCATCACAGGACGTTCCTGTCGTTCTGCTCTCCTGTTCTAATCCTCAAGACTACTTCAAATCACTCAATACCAGAACAATGTAGCAATAGTGTGTCGAGCTAAAGACATAGTGCGCTACAATGCGGCTTTGTTGGAAGTTTCCATGTAGTTTTACTGCCAAAAACTCTGCACCTGAACCACCTGCACTGCTTGAAGAAGTCTAGCTCAATGACATACAGCAACATAAATTAAATAAACTGACATAAAGTAATATAGCAATTGTTTAACACTAGTTTTTACAAGATTTGGACAAAAACTAGATTGTTTTGACTCTGCTGACTGGAAACTTGAACTTTTGTGCAAGTTAGAGTTCTGATAAAAATAAAACTCCCTGATAAGCGGGGTCTTGTTAATAATTGTAGCACAATAGATAATTAAAAAGTTGTTTTAAAGTATCTTCATGTTTAGAGAGGAAAATGAAAGCGTTGATGCTAAAAATGGATCAGTTATGAAATTGTTGATGTCGACTTTAAAGCAGCTCTATGAAGATAACAATATGGTTATGTAGATCTCTGGTTTAATGTTGATTAATATACATAAAATTAAAAGTTCATGAATTATGAAACTGCATCTTTGTTGAACTGCTTTATAGTTTACACTAAAGACAGTAGTGCCTTTATTCAGTCCAGTCAGTTTAACGTTGATTCAACTCACTTGTCATCCTTGTAAACGAACATTTTAGGATATTAAAAAGAAAAACCCTGCATGTAAACATGAAAAAGTACATTTATGACCGAGGCCATTTCTTAACACAATAAGAAAACATAGAAAAAAAAAACTGATGGAAATAGACAATATCAAAGAAGAGATCAAGTCTGTCATCAAATTGATACAGTTAAATTATGTTCCGGAACAGTTCCCCAAAATTACACTCCCAAAAATGCAACAAAACATGACAGCATTTATTTAGTCTCTCATCTGTGTGCTCTGAGACAAGTCTTTTATTATGTAGGAAAATACACAGGGCTTCAAACTTTTGAAGCACTAGCAGCGGTGTCACTAACTTCTACAGATGTTGGCACCAACACTTGATTTAGTAGAGCACATGCCAAATTATTGATATTACAAGTTTTGTAAATGAAGTGCATTTCACTGTAGATTAAACTGGAGTCCAGATCTATTAACAATTATAAAAACAGTGCAAAAAAAATTGTAAGGGCTTTTACAGGATGGTCAACATTTCAAAAGCATTTTAAAGCTGCATCGAGCCATATGTCAGGTCATAGACAGATCAGCTAATTGACGTGGCTTTGAAACGCTCCCAGTGTCCGTGTATTTGTGTTTGCACTTGGTGAACAGAGGTAAAGAGTGGTAAACCGACAACCTTTACTAGAGTTACGCAACATATTGAATATAATACTATTATCACAATAATAGTATATGCTTTATCCATATCACAGAGAAGTGCATTAAATTTAATTAACTTTATGTGCCAAGCATTTGTGTGTTGCATACATAGGTTGTTTATCCAATTTGGGACTACAGTGGTCACTCGGCATTATGGAGTTCACCTTTCACAGCCTTATAGTTTCGCAGATTTTTTAGCGCAGTTTGACTTTTTATTTTTTATCTATTTTTTTTTTTTTACAGTGCATTGATTGTGTTCTGCGTCCTGATGGGCTTTAGACCAATGTCAATCAGTCTTCTTTGTGCCGTGTCTCCTGCACAAAACAGAATGCGTTCAGCATTCCACCACCAAAATGACAAAAATCTTTAATAGCTAGCAGCGTGGCTCTGAAGTGCTGTACTTCAAGTTTTCACCCCAACAAACCCCATAATGTAAAGAAAACATTCCACACT